TGCTGAACGGCATTTACATCTTTGTTGTCTGCAGTACTAATGATTCTCAGGCTCTCTTGAATCCTGGGGTCCAGTTTTTTCCCCTCTCATTTTCAAAACAATATGCTAGAAACTGCCTGCTGAGTGCATGTTTGTGCCAAGTTCCCATTTGCCTAAGAAGAACTGAAGCAGGCTATAGATGCCCTTACCATGGAAGCTCCTAGCTCAAAAACCTCAGCGCTGTTTTGACAGCAGTGTTTACAGGCATTATTTACTATCATTTTACTACCCATACAGCTGCAGCCTTCTTTTAACTCAGGCTAAGCATGCAGCTTCTTAAAAATAAGACTAAGCACAGTTTTCAAGACCTTCCAAGGATGCTCTAAAGATCTTCTAAGGATACCCTAAATCCCAACCAGCTATCAGGCACATACTGAAATGCTGTGAAGTGCTGGTAATGCTGAAGTCTGTTTGGCGATTCTAACTAAATACTCTAATGTTCCTCACAAATCCCAAGGGTTGTCCACTCCCTAGAGAAGATTTTTTTTATATTTCTGCTCTGCACCAGAGGACCTGAAATTTTCCCTGAAAGATGCACCAGGACCTCCTTGTCAAACACCCAGTTCCTCAGAGTTTTGCCTGCCCAATACATCTACTCTGCTCAAAGCTGGGCTTTTGAAACAAAAGCGTGCAATATGCCCTGGGCACCTTTGAGTAGGAAAATGCCTCTGGCATTAAGGCAAAAGCCAGACACAGCTCAGCAGAGACTATAAATCAAAAAAAGTCCAGACAGACGCCCACAGTGCACAGGACTTAGTTACGAGGAGAGAGAAGAGGGTGATGAGTCCACAAAGCTTATAAACTTCAGCTTTAGTTAAAAATTCCCAGTCCTTGACATTGTACAGAATGAGCTGAAAATGCAAAGTAATGTGCAAGAATGGCCAGAAGATTTTCATAATTATTATCTCAAAAATCTATGCATTAGTTATAAAACTAATCAGAATTGACCTTTGGAGCTCCCAAAGCTCATGAACATGGGTTTGTCTAATCTTGAGGGGAAAGTGTGTAACACCAAATTAAATTCAGTTTAAGGGTCAGTGTGAGGTGGCTTTAGGGGTCTATTTTCTGCTTGGACACTTTCAGCTCAGAGGAATGGAAAAGAAATATGGTCTCCCATCTCAGGGATTATACCTTAGTAATATGGAAGGTACCCTCACCCAGTCAACCAGACACCGCAGAAGAGAGGTTAACACCAGCTCTCCGGGGCACTCCCCAGAATGACACAGAGGAAAAGCAGGACTTCTCCCACATGATGCTGCAAAGATTAATTGCATGCACATGGCAGAACTTAGGGCACTTCTTCCCTAGAGAACTTAAGACTATAAAAGTGATGCCTGTGAAGCTCTCCAAAGCCAACACCCAACATTCCTCAGAGCTTACGTTCACCCACCTTCTTTACACTTCAGCTAAAACTTCCAGAAACCAGTTACACTTGTGAGAAGGGCTGACACCATCAACCCCAGGACACTGAGGTCCCCCACCTGCTCTGCAGGCTCTTTGCCACTCTGGTTACACCACAGGTGCCTACCAGCACTGGTAAGCAGGCATCAAGGGGCCTTCTCTGGTAGTGGCATTCGCTACAGCACCTCCCCAGCCAATATAAACCAGGGCAACAAAAGCTGTGTGTCATCAGAATTGCTGCCAGGGATTTTGCCACCACAGCGATCCAAGAGCATGAATTTCTAGTTAACACGGCCGTGCCAGCAAAACATTACATTGCAAACCTGAGTCAAAGAAAGGTATAAAACTGGAGTTGTTTCTCCTCAGAGAAGGGAGAATGGGAAGAGCGATGATTACTGGTGGGTTAACAATGTCAGAAGCTCATTTCCCAACTGGAAATACAAATCTCCTTCACCAGAAAGAAAAAGAATTCAACCCCAAAAAAATCCATATACAGCCAAATAACATCCCCTTCTCCATTTACTTTCCTCACATTGCAAAGTGCAGCTCATGAGATGGTACTTCTTGATCTCCCAAAGGGAGGAAAAGCTCTCTCCATTAATCTGTTCATATGAGTCACCAGAAAAAGAGAAGTGTGGATCCCAGCACACCTGCGCTGCAGGTAACACGTACAGCGCAGAGCGGCTGCCTTGGCAAGGGCTGGAGAGCTCTTGCCTCTCCCACTGAGACTTTTTTATGAAGTGCTTATGAAGAAAGGAGATGTCAGGAAGCAGAAGAAAAAGTGCAGGCTGGGGACCCCTGCACCAACTTAATTCCTGGCCTGAGGTGGTACAAAGACACCACCTCTCAGCATAGCTTCACACCCCAGATGCCAAAGAAGATAAAGCAACAAACCTCGCTCAGAATGCAAAGGGGCATTGTGTCACTGGCCACTGTAATATAAATCCTCCCGTAAAGCTTGCAGTATCATTTGCAGCACCGGCCTTCTCATGTTTCTCTGGGTGAAGCACTACTTCAGCTCTATGTTTAGCACTTGGAGAGAAGCCAGGCAGAATTCCATAACCACCACTGATTTGTTAATCCCTTAATGCATAGGCACTGTTTGTTACTTAGGACGTCAGGTTTCATCACTCCTCAGCGCGCTGGTGATAGAACTTCTTGACACCAGGCTGCAAATATTATTGCAATGTCGATACTCCCAGGGAGAAAGTCAAGCCGAGTTAAAATGTGACTTTGGTGTTGACAAGCCAGTTTGGCATTGGGGAGTTCAAATAGACAGGATCACCTAGCAACTTTAAAAACAGAAGAAAGTTTGCCAGGATCCTTTTGACTAGAGTCTTATCCCGAGATCCACACGGTAACAGGTAAACACTTTCCAATCAAGTAAGAATACAGTAAGTGGATTATGCTTTTCCGGGAAAGTGCTGGGAGCGATGTGTACATGTGCATGTGAGTTTGTGCCTATACAGGTTTTCCTCATCTTTCTCATAGAAAGAGAAGAAAATCCAAATCTGGGTTTGTAGCATGACAGACTTGGAGGTGATGCAGCTCAGCATTCCCAGGGAGTTCACCCAGACCACGGTAGTTTCAAGACTTCTGCTGTTGCGCTAAGGAAAGCTGTCTCCCTGATTACGATAAAAAGAGGTATTTCCCTGAGCGTGATCTAAAACAGGTCAGATCCTGGACTTTTTGGAGGCCTGTTAAGACATCACACAGGGGCTGCACAGAACATCACAGCCAGGCTGGCATCGGTGCCTGCTGCTGCCGGGGAGGCGGCTGGCCTTCTCCAGAGCACAGTGCCATTTCAGGATAATATCCCCCCCTCCTGGATTCAAACACTTGTAGTGACACAGCCTGAAAAGTGAAGACATGGGAGGATGACTGTGCACGTGGAGGAAAAGGCACAGCCTTCCCACCCAGGACAGCACGAAAGTGAAGGGCTGATGCGCGGGGGCTGCCTCAGGCTCACACACGCCAAGACTAACTGGGCTTCATCCTCCCAAAGCAATAAGCCCAGGCAGCTACTCAGCTCCTATTAATTTACCACCATTAATTACCAGCCACTTTTTTTTGACCTCACAAGGCAGATCTGACAGAGTAATGTGCTCGGCCATGGCATGACTAAGCCGGGCCAAGGGCACATCAAGCCCATCGCCGACCCCATGCATATCCCAACTGCCCACACACAGCCCATCTGCTTATCAATAGCTCCAATTAAATTGTCTCGGGGTTTCGACTGCCACCAGCTCACTCACGGGTTGGGAGAAAGACAGAGGGAGTTAAAATTAAATTAGCGATTGATTAATACATGAGGCCACTCGGTAGCTGTTGAACTGAGCACCCTTTTGGGGTTTTAACCCTTTGGTATCTTGTGAGTTTTGTTTCATGGCTAGCAATGACAATGTGTACACTGGAAATTTGGGGTAATCTTTAAGAAAAGCTCAGAGTCAGGTTGAAATGTGTATTTCAGTAAAAATAAGGTTTTGATAAAATTATTTTATTGAAATTTCAGTAAACTTAGAGCATCTTCTGTTTTTTGAAACAGGAATGTTTCAGAAACATGTGATACTGGAGCAGTCTATTTTCAGACTTGGTGAAGTGCAAAGAACAGCACAACATACACTGGCAAAAGGTATTTTTTTAAAAAAATAATTAGGAGGATTTTTTTATTTCCAGTCCTTGTAATTGGAAAGAATCTGGAACAAAATGACTGTGAAACTCAGTGCTGGAAGTAAGACGCAAAGTACAGAAAAAACCCTTTAAAATGCCAGGGAGGTAGAATATACAACAGCAAAAGGATGCAAAGAACAAAAGAAAAAGGGTAACACTTCCAATGGTTTAAATAGACAGTGTTTCACTGAATTCAGCAAAGCTGCCCCCGTTTACACCAAATGCTGTGTTTTACAGGGGATCTAGGGGACATACCAGACAAAATGACTGTTTTCTTCCCGCTGCCTGACTTTGCTATATTCAAACAGGTAAGCACCAGGAGTGATCAAAAGCCCAGTGGCACGTGGAGTAGACTTTGAAGGGCAGATGCAAGCAAAAAGTTCCAGTTTAGAGAGGTCTGTTTGGTTTTAAGCAAGATCTCAAATAAAAGCTGGGAGCCAGCACTGCACAAAACTATTCCCAAGGCTATTCTTTGACTACAGCCTCCTCTTTCAACAAGATAAAAGTCAAATGTAAATGGGCAAGCAAGACAAAATCCTACAGCAAGGGCACAAGCAGTGCTGGACCGTCACAGCATCCCCAAGAGCAGTAGTGGATCAAGGTGTTCCGCAGGCACTTGTTAATGCATCTCCGAAACACACATAGACACTAAAAGGGTATACTTTTTTCCCTCTTTTTTTAAAAAAAAAAAAAAAAAAACAACACAAAAGGAGACCAAATTCTATCCCTGGGGGCTTGATATGAAAAGACCATTATGCTCTCCCCCTGGTAAGGTATGCACCAAAAGCCCTTGTGCATTCAGTGAGCAGTCAGACACAACTATATGGAAACAGGAGAACACATTAATTAGGCAATAAAACCACATCTATTAGGCAATTAAAAAAACCTACCTGGGAAAGAAGCTTGTTGTCATCCTCCAGCAGTTTCACTTTTGTTTCAAGTTGCCTGATGTAGTTGGAAGACGAATCTTTAGGAAAAGAGAAAAAATACATTTCAGCTTCGCATGTGACAGGCAAGTACTGTAAGACAGGAATACGTTTTCCCCTTCTATCGAAGGCAGGTTTGGGAAAGACCTAATGAATACACATATTCATATATATAGGCTATATATAGGGTGAAGAGGGGATTCTGCCAAAAGCTTTTTTCACTAAGAAGCTGAGATTCAGCAACAGCAATATCTTGTGTGAATCTATATCAGTGCCATCAGGTTGGGCAATGAGGGGTACAGAAGGAAAGTGAAGTTGAAATACTGTTTCATAATTGTATAAAAGTAATTTCCTAGCTTTGCACCCATTCGTATTCATCTAAAATGCACCAAAACACTCAACAACGGAGATGTTTCCTTTTAGGTTTGAATAAACAATCTCTCCACACACGTGCCTTTTTCTTTCAAAAACAACTGAAAAGTTCACAAAAATAAGCTGCTGGCACAGCTCTACATGGAGGTCACTGCCACAACTCTCAGTGCTGTAAAAGGGGAAGAAGTGAATACAGCAAGGCCACAGAGCTGCAGCTTGCACACAGCCTGACATACACAACAAGTGCCTACCCAGGACATCTGTTTTTTCTAGTGGAAGCATGTGACACAAACAGACAAAAACAGGAGGACAATAAAATACAGAATACCCTCACATAAAATGGTAATATTCAACCTGAAGGAATGTAATGGCCAGTTCACCATTGCAGTAAGAGAGCAACACCAGATCGGGTGACCTGGTGTAGAAGATAACTTGCTGAAGAGCTCTGTGGGTGGCTTACTGCTCTCCAAAACATCTGGGTTTTGTTTTGAAATGTGCTTTGAAGCAACACATTTGCAAATTTCACAGGAAAGAAAATAAAGGAACCTAGGAAATCCTTTTCTTCGTTTTCATTATAGCTCAGCAGCTTGCAATAGTTCCTTCTATCCATCTGGATATTTGCAAAATTTCTCCTCCACTTACAATTTTGGTAGCAGAGGCTGTGAGTTGTTACAGCAAGAGGAAAAGAGGGAGAGAGTTTTGCAGCTTAAGCATATGAAAAAACTCGAACCCTTTCTGCACAAATGTGAAATGGCACTATATTTTACGTCATTTCATTTATTATGGCATGACTGCAAAAGCCACTATTCAACCACAGGACTTCTCGCCAAGCATGAATCGTCAAGGAACTGGGCGTTCACACAACCATGCCTATGTCGGTGCACGTTGCCGACTAACAGCACTTTTCAGGGTCAGCCCCACCATGGTTAGCAGGCACCACTCTCTGCCCATGCACACGTGTAAGGTTTAGGCTGCCTCTGTGCTAAACACCTTACCTTTGCCAGTAGCTGCTGAACGCACTCGGCACAAGCCCGAATGCCGTCTCTTGGCCACTCTGGGGGCAGTTTAGCAGAAAAGCTAGCATGCAAGCTCCAGCTAATCACTGAGAGTCCTTTGACCATTCAAGAGAAAAATTGGAATATGCCTGAAAAAGTGCTGCCATAGACAAGTGCCAAACCGCACATAAAGGAACAGCAGGACGGACCAGAGTCAAGTGCCCATCTAAAGCACAAACACTCTCAGAGGAAACAGGCTCACTTTTTTGTTTGGATTGCACTTTGTCCAAACCCAGGAAATTCAAACAAGCCCTCACGAAAAAGGTTAAGAAGACACCATAGGAAGCTACTTAAGTTCAGTGAACAGTTTAAGTGGTGGTAAGGTTCACAGCAACACCTTCAGCTGCAAACTCTCTCTGCCCAACAACCTCCCCAATGTGGGAGGAGTCTCTAGGTCAGAGAAGAGGGCAAACCATGTAGGTTATAGGATCAATCCGTAGCACCTTCCCTGCAAAGGCATCCTGCCAACAGCATCGTGAATTTAGTCATGCATATCAAAAGGTGGTGAGTATAATGCTGCAGAAGATCAGTGCTTAAGTAAGCAAGATTTCAGCATCAGCTTGAACAACTTGCTGAATTAGTAATGAACCTGTCCTCCAGTGGGGTGAGAGGGGAGTTTGAGATTCTTAAATACAAAGCCAGGAAGACCATGGACCCTTCGGTCTGACCTCCTCTGTGCCTCAGGCCACCACACTTTTTTAACTTACCCCTAAATTCAGTCCAGTAATACCCATTTGGCTGAACAGTTCCCATAGCAGTCTCCAGCTCTGTCTGAAGACAACCAGAGACTCCATCATTTCCACCCAGGTTCTGGATACAACAGCCTCCATTGGTAGATCTGGTCGGATAAGGTGTCTTTCCCGACCTGCCCTCCAGCTTCACCAGCACCCACATGCTGCCAGGGCCGCAGCAGAGCTGAATGCCTCTACACAATGAATGCAGTGATCCTGATACAGCAAGTCCTGATTTATATCTCGAAGTATCAGGGCACTGAAAGCAGCTTCAAGGAAGGATTCAAAGTGGTGTCAAAGGAGAGGCTCAATCCACGCCTGCCTGGGAATCAGACACATGCCTCTGGATGGAGCACTGTTTCTGTGTGCATAAGTGGCACAGACAGCAACACTTGCATAACCAAGTGTAAAAATGCTAAAGATCTTGATGTGATGCCGGTAACAGTTACAGGCTCCACAAGAGCCACAGCATTGACTAAGCCCGTTGCCCGTTAGCAGTCCAAGCCTGCTTCCCAAACAGCATGAAGCCTGCTATATGCACTGCCCCGCCTCACCTTTGTACTCTTAGCACTACTGTTTATATTGTGGCCCACCACGCCATGTCACGTGCAAAAAACAGCAACCAAAACAAAAAGCTTATGGGAACTGTTTCTGATACAAACAAGCCCTTTCTCACAGTTCTGTCCCCACAGAGGGCAGAGAAACTGCAGGAGGTCCTCTCCAGCAGCTCTGTGTTCAAGCACAGTTGGAAGTTACCCAAGGTGGAGGCTCGCAACCCAAATCTTGTAAGCAACCTCTTCAACATGTGCTTGTGGTGTGTTCCTGCACTGCTAACAGCTACAGAAAATTAAGGTTAAGCAGATGAATAGTGATGCAGAAGCTGTTGTGTTCAGGCCCTGAAATCTACAAAGACTGGTTGGTTGATGGATAGAATAGAGCATGTCTGCCAAAGAAACGGAAACAGAATTATTTCTTCACTTTGGTTTTGCATTCCTTGCAAAAAAAAAAAAAGGGTACTCCTTGGGAAGGCAAGCCCTGCATCCCCAGGAGCCAATGCACACCACAGCTACCCCCAGTCTTGAAAACCTGCTCTGAGATTTGCTAGAATTCTTCAAACACCACTGTTCAACCCTAAACCACGTCCGATGTCTGACTTCAGCCAAAAGCAACCTCAGCTCCACAGCAACATAAAATATGTGGAGGAAAAAAGAAAAAAGCAAATAAGCTGTTTTATCAGCAGAAGCTGCTCCATCTCAGGTAAAGTCTTAGAAACTGTGCTCAGAGCCATCACCATCCTCACCGTGTCCTCAGAGATGAATCGCCTCCATCTTCCAGACCTGCCTGTGCTGAGGTAGGTGCCGGATGAGCCGTTTTCATCTTGATCTCAGGTTTAAAAAATCCCATAACTCTCACGACAGCAGGCAGTAACACTGACGGGCTGAGCAGCAAAACCCCAGGCTGGGTCTCTCCCACGTTAGATCAAGAAACACATTCCCAACATTTTTCTGCCTCTGACCTTCCTCTTATCAGTGAGTCTCCCTCCTCTCCTGCCTCCCCCAGAGCCATGGGGCAAGGACGGCCCCACTAACCCACTCAGGAGAGGCACTAGAGCTGGACCACTGACAGCTCAGACCCCCTCAACCCCTTCATTAGAAATTAAATGAATGGTCCTCATTGCCTTGTCAAAGCCTGCCTCCAGCTGTGAGGAATGCTCCACCTTCACCAGCCCAAATACACTCTCCTCGGTGGCATAAGCAGCTCCCAAACCCGGCTGCTGAGGCATACCCCCAGCACACCCACCCAGCCACCACCTCATGGCACCAACTTCGAGTTCACCCACACCTGCTGGTGCCTTGCTGATGACTTGACACCTCATCCTACCCTGGCCAGACAACCACACCGGCTGGCTCTGCAGCAGTGTGGCACACTGAAGGGGACGCACAGTATCAGGGAAGCAGACAAGGAGCGGTCAAGAACACATGGTCAAGGACAGGGGTTCCAGGATAAGCTTTTGAGGAGGATGCTCTGGCACTTGGTGCTGCCTAGGATGCCAGTGAGGCCAATGTCCTCCTCCAGTTACTCCTCAGGGCCATGAGCACCAGCTCCACAAGCAATGGGTGTCTTACTGGACCAGGTGGAATCTGAGGGAAGGAATTTCCCATCAGAACATCTTACCTCCCACCCAACACCCTCCCTGTCGCAGCCATTACACTTGGTGCAGAAGAGGAGGTGAGGGGACAACAAAACAGATGAAAACCATAATCACCATCAGCCATCGCTCACTTGTACAACGTAAATGCTTCAAGCTAAATTGTTCACAGAGCTGTAAAACCTGAAGTGCCGTTTCATTACAAAGCCTTTGAAAAACTAATTGGATGTAGCTCCACACATTATCTCCACGAGAGGTAGAAGAGTTGCATTCCAGCCCAGGAAGGAGCATTACTGTTATTATCCACCCTCCTCAAGATTTACTGTCTTAAAAAATATACTCCATCTGGAATGGGGTGTAATTCAACTTGGATATAATCTAGCTGAGTAACTTTTCTCCACATAGATAAACCACTTAATACTCATTACAGCTAAATTGAGGCAAGACAAATCACTCTACCTTGTTTTAACTCAATGGCCTCTGAGAGAGCAGGGAACTGCCTGGCTCCTGAAGCTTTTTTAAAACATAAATTAGAAACTGTTTTAACAATCAAAACAATCTTGCAGCCCGCAGAGTACAGATCAGTGTCATTTTAAAAGACACTTGGAGACACTGGAGCCTTTCCGATTCTCATTTGAGATTTCAGAGGAATCTGTCAGAGGAGTAACTGTGATGAATTATACATTTATTTTGACAGTAGCAAAAGAAATGTTTTTATTTCCTTGTATGTCGTTTCTCCAACCCACAAGCACTCAGAGCAGAGGTTTGCATGGTAGCTACATGGTTGGGATCGAGACACTTTTATTGAAGACCTTTTTGTAACGAGGCCTTAGCACTTAAATGAATGTAAGAAAAAAAATGCAATGGGTTTACTTAGGGCAGTTCACAGCAAAGATGCAAGAAAAGGTTAATGTAGGTGTCCATGAGGTGAGGAAGCCGTCAAGAGTCCTCTGATGGGACTCACAGCGGGATGGTCCCTACACCCAGCCTGGGCAATACTAAAGAACCCAACATGAGCAGACTTGAGACAACAGAGGTGCCTTAGTCCTCTTCCACGGCATCCCACTGAGGTTTGATTTGTCTTTTCGATGTCTGCTACAAAGAGGGGCTTATGTAGTGACCAGATGGGGTGCTGGCTGGCAGGTCAGGACTGTGGTACCTGACTCCAACACTGTCCCTGCATGCAACACGGAGGTGTCCCGCACCCCCAGCAGTGAGGCTGGACACCCATTGCCTCCTACTGTGTTTTCTCCCCAGGAGCTACTTTCACTAAGTATGATTTAAGACAGTTATATTTTGTCAATGTCCTGCAAACAAGGCTCCTCTTCTCCTCATAAAAAGCAGCATCCCCAGAGGGACTCTCCCAAATCCAAACCCAAGGAGGAAAGATGCAGGAAGGAGTGATGCTTTGCCAGGTTTACATCTTGCAGTCAGCTGCCACCTTCTCCTTCACCAGATGGGATGCTGATATTTTCACTTCCTCCCCTTCCATCAAAGACTGTCTCATAAAGAGGCCTTCACCTGTGCTCAATAAAACATTTTGCTGTATGTCGGTAGTTTCGTTACCACACCTCTGCTGTTCAGCACCATATTTCAGATTCGTATTGCTCTGCTGGTTTTGCTCGACACAGACGGCAGGCTGAAAAATGGGCCAGTGGTTACATCTTCTAAAGTTGATTCATTAAGGCAACAGCACTCTTTCAGACAAGCTGGGAAGCAGATGAAACTCACATCTCTCTATATATTGTCATTAAAGGAAATCATTGAGAGAGGTGGACAATCGCACCACCCTTGCATTTTCCTAGGCAGCCCCCATCTTTCTGCCCCCCCTCATCTTTCTTCCCTGACCAGCAAACTCCAGTCCCAATGTCCTGTTTCAGACTGGTGCGTGAGGCAAGTTTTCATGTCGAGCTTAACTTGGCAGATGGCTCAAATGTGAGCAAGGACCCCACAAAGCCACTGCTGAGTTACTTTAGTTTTGCAGGTGCTGCCCTCTGCTACGGCACTAGCAGGGTTTTCAGGGTATGCTCCTTGGTTCACCTCGGCATCCTCAGCTCTGCAGTGACTTTCACCCCGACTCAGGGAGAAGCCACTTCTTCCAGCACCTGGATGATGCTACTGGTGTCTGAGGGACCTGGCCCCATCTCCAAGTTAGCCCTTGTCCCCACTGAACAGAGGCAGCTCTCTAGCCTGGCACCCAGGCTCCAACCCAGCTAGTCCCCACTGAAAATATCACTATACGCAGCTGTGAAAGCGTGTGAGTAGATGGGAGGGCAGGTCTGCAGATGAAAAGCAGGTAAAAGCCAAATTAAGTATCCCAGCAGTGAGGTGAAGAAGCTCACCTGAACCCTCCTTCTCTTCTCTTCTCTCAGGTCCAAAATACCATACTCTGTTAACCCCAATCCCCACGTCTCTCCAGTAGGAGGTTGGGCACAATTTGAGGGTCTCTCTCAGGACATGGTGAGAGAATATGCAACGACAAGGTCTATGGCAGACAAAAGCTCCCAGCTTTTTGTAGCTTTGCAAGACACTCTGCAAGCAAACCACACCACCCTGCTCTATGTCTTGTCCCACCACCTCATTCACCATGGGTTGTGTAGGGAGCAGCTTCCTCTGCATTCTGCCAGGCAGCAGTTTAAAGAGGTGGCAGGAGGGCACTTACAGAAACAGTACTAAGGCCAAATCTTGATTATTTCCATAGCCGAGGTGCTGCAGCACACTTTTACTGAATAGACACTGCCTTAGACTATGCTAAATAAATAAAACGCCCATATGTCGCATCCAAAGCCACCCATGATAACATCTGTCTGAATAAGACTGGTAGGATCAGCCCTCATTTTCAAGGTGCAGGTGATAGCTCAGGTATAGAATAGGTATTCAAACACCAGTCAAAACAACAGAGAAGTGTGTTGTCAGTCCAATCACAAATAACAAAGAAATCTGGTTTCAGACTAACACACATTTTTTTTAACTCTCACAAGGCAGTGGTTACGTGCTGGCGACACGGCTGTGCT